GAACGCGTCCTCCCTGCGGCCGCCCCTTGCCCCGGGCCCACGTGCCCCCCCGCGGCACCCCTGGGCCCGCGCCGAGCACCCGGCGGCTCGGAAGCTTCTGGGCAACGTGCTCAGCCCTGCTCTGGCCTCTTCGGGGGAACGTTGCCCTCTTGATTCTGCCAGATCTCCTACAGCTGACAAAGTACCTGAAGAATCGTGGGTCCGTTGTCCAGCTGTGAGACAAGAGAAAGACCAGAAGCAAAGATGCTCAGTGTCACTGAGGGAAAATCAAATATTTAGAATAAAAAGTCTCAGGATGTTTAATCTATAGCTTTATGTCAGGATGCAAATATCAGCACAGATCCATCCGCAAATCATCTGTGAGGCAAACGCCGTTATTTACTGGTTTGCTGTTCAAAAATAGCTCTGGAATTATTAATCAGTTGAGACAGGTTTATCCGGGAGGAGCAGTTCTGAGAGTAAAGCCAGTTGTACAAACAGACTGATAACAGGATCAAAACTCTTCTCTGCTGTCAGAGGAAAAAAAAAACCCAACAAAACCTTTTCTCTCTGCAATCTATTTACTTCTCTGTTTCCTACAGCCCTGCCTCTCTTCTGACTCACCGTCAGGCAAAAGCACTTTTCCAAACCCAGCCTCCTCCTCTCCCCGCGCCGATCCTCCCTTCCCTTTCCCCACCAGGGCCGAACTGGCTCCAGGCCGGTGCCGGGCTGCTCCTTCTCACCAGCTAACGGAGAACCCGCAGCCTTTAGGACGGAGCTTCCAGGACACAGAGAAACCGGACGCCCCTGATAGAAAAAAGTGCCAGGAAGATTGCACAATGTGCAAAATTACAGAGGTTGGAAGGACTGCTGCTAGTCAGAGAGACTAGAGAGCGAACTGGCTTATCCCTTTCACATCTACCTAATCCCAACCTATTTTGCTTCTCCCCCTCATATTTTAGATCCTTCCCTTTGTCTCAGCAGTATTCTTTGGAGACTTCTCACGGCAGGAGTCAGTAGTCTTCTCCCTGAGGGCTTGAGGCTTCTCTTTTTATGGACCTCTTGGCACTGTTGGAGACAAAACCTGCCCGACTTCTGGAATGTAAGAGTCGAGGCCGTGCCTGATTTTGCGGCGAGCGTTTCGCTGTCGCGGGGTGTGGAGGTCTCTGAGCTGCCGGGTATTGTCCGGCTTTGGTTCAGGGTGTGGTTAATACCCCGGCAAAGCCAGCGGGTGGAATCACACCTGGCTGCTTCGACCTCTCCAGCTTGTGTGTTTGAATTAATAACCATGGGGGTTTCAAATCACCGTCTTTTCATAGTTGTACACATACAAGCCCGCTCTGCTCCCAGCTGCACCACAGAACTGGGACGTGGCTCCAGAGCGGCCGACATCCCATCGCTCTGAGCAGCAGCGTGAAAAGAGCAGGATCTGGCCCTGTGGCCGTGCCTGAAACCGTAGAAGGGATTCCTCACCTCCTAGGGCCCGCTGTAAATTAGAGAAGGAGACTCTTCCTTCTAATAAATCTTTGCTGACTGTCTATTCTGTCAGATTTTGCTACCTGGCTCCTCCCTTTACTAAACTATTCCCCTGTGCCTTTTCTCTCTGCCTGTTCTCATGCTAATCCGGATCTCTTGGGTGGCGAAGCTCCTGCTCAGACTCCCAGCGGGGACAGGTAAGTTTTTTCCGTTGTGCTTCCTTCCCACTGGCCACTGAACTGCAGTTTTCCTCGTCTCAGCCCAAGCGGATCCAGAGCGTGCGCGCTGAGGCCTCGCCGGGGACTGCCCTCTGAGCCGTCTCCAGGAGCGGTTCCCCTGCCCGCGCTGCGAAGGTGCCACGGCCCAGCCAGCAGAAGACGCGCGAGGAGGCAGCAGTTTAGGGCCCCGGCAGGAATCTCCCCCCCGAAGATCGCTCTGAACCTCTCCTGAAGCTCTGAGAGCTGCTGATTCCAGAGCCTTTCCCTCTCCGCCAGCCTTCAGCCCTGCCAGCAAAGTGCCTCCGCCTGCCGGCTCATCCGCTCGCTGCTGCCTGCCCGCTGCTGCCCTGGTTATGGTGGAGGGTGGGAGCTGAGCCGGGCTGCTGGCGTCTGCTGTGGCTGGGCAGACCCTGCCGCTTTTCTGAGCCTCAGTTTCCCCCTCTGAAATAATGCCTCCTCCTCAGGCTTCTCGTAAGCTTTAGTTTATGAGTGTTTGTGAAATGGTTTGAAGTTGTTTTGAATAGATAAAAGACAGGCAGGAGCACAAACTGTGGGCCATGACGCTGCAGTTGGGTCGGTGCTGCGGCACCCATTTCTGCTCAGCAGCGGCCCCCGCGCAGCTCACTCCAACCTGGGCTTCTGCCCAGCCGGGAGCCGGTGGAGACTTTACCTGCTGCTTATCGGACACTTATCTCGCGCCTCAAGGGCCCGGAGCCCTGGCAGCTGTTGTGTGGCTGCTGGAGAAGGCGGCCTAAGCCCCCGCTGCCGGCCCGGTGGCCGGTCACCCCACGGGAGCCAGCGAAGGCCAACGCAGCCCGGGAGCGGGGAGCTGCCAGGGAAAACTTCTCCGTTTCAAGGAGAGTGGCAAGATTTTTTAAAAAGGCACGTTTTTGTGATATGGCAAGAGACTCTGATAGCAATTACAGTCTCCACAGACAAAGCCTGTTGAAGCAAGGCCCTGGCGAGGAGAGCACAGCCCTCCCCATTCCTGCGCAGGCACCCCCACCCCGCCGAGCTCGCTGGGCTCTGGGGGCTTGGCGGGTGCGTGGCTGAGGGAAGGTCGGCACAGAAAAGCATCCTGGCAGAGCAGAACAGTTACCATGGCAACGGGAGAGCAGAACTTTTTCCTCTCCAGCAGGGCTCGATGTGACCTGGAAGGCCGCTTTCTGCCCGGATGCTTTCGGTCCTCCCTTCCCCCTGCCCCGGGCTGCTCTGTCCTGCCCTGGTGGCCGGGGGGGGGCTGGCGTGGCCCGGGGCCGCGGCCAGGATCAGCCCTCCCGGGCCACAGCAGACCTGGGCCGTAAGCTGGTCGCCTCCTGCACGTTACGGCTGCATGTCAAGCCAAACCCAACTGCCTGTGCTGTTGCAATTGTGTAAAAATAACCGCAGTGAACTGCAGATGTGATAGCATGCGCGTGTGAAAAATCTGCCATTAAACCTTCAGACCGGAGGCCGGAGTGGCTGGGAGTTCTGGGACTCTGTTTTTTTACACGTTGACAAGAGCCTCTTCAAGACCAGTCCAAATTCTCGCGTTTTGGGCATATTCCCCAGATTTGCTGGTGGTTCTGCAGTGCTGGAGGCGCTCTGCCGGGCTGGGAACGCGGCTCAGCTCCGGGTCCCATTGGCCTGTTCCATGGCCGGGGAAGTGTTTACATGTGTTGTAGCAACCCGGGGCTGCCGGGGTGACTCACGGCGAGGGAACTCGCCTGGAAAACAATGTCAGATAAAAACCCACTTGGCGGGGCACGGCGGAGGCCCGTCTGCCCCGCAGATCTCGCCGCTCTGGGCTGTTTGAAGCAGGAGGAACACAGAGCAGCCCCACAGCCCGGCAGCTGCCTCCAGGCTGGGCACGGAGCTCCCCGGGGCAGGGCTTTGCTCGGGGCAGTTTCCCTCCGGAGGCAGAGCCGAGGCCACTGGCAGTCCCCGGCCTGCAGAGCCAGAGCCTGAGAGGGGCCGGGGGGTGGCACATCGCAACGGGCTGAAAGGAAAAGAGAACTTGGATCAGAGCTGACCCTCTGCCTGAAGCACATCGGCTGGCGGCGAGCTCGGAGGCCACCTGCCCTGCTGGGCGAAGCTCTGCTTTGTGCACAGAGCAGAAAGATTTTTCGTCTGCTGGTATAAAAATCTTCCGAGAAATCTTGTTTACCCGCTGTCCTTGTGCCAGCTGGATTCAAGCTGTCTTAGAGAACAGAAGGGGTTTGCATCTGCTGACCGGGAGCCAGGGCTTGAACACCCCAACGGCAGCGATGCCAGGACCCGGGATTTTGGACTTGCCCACTTCAAGGGTCAGTGTTTTCCCAGTAAAAATAGAGTAGCTGGAATGCCTGGTGTTAAAACTGCGGCTCATCTGGATGAGTCACGAGTGAAACAAAGTGCACAGACCATAGTGCCCGGCCCAGAGCCGGGATTTGTGTGGCAGCCACCCACAGACCCGGGATGGTTCTTGATTGTTCCCATTGTCCTCCACCGCAGGCGGACGCGCTGTGTCCGTAGCACGTTCTGCCCGCGCCGGGCAGGTCCCCCTCTCCGCGGGGGAAGCACCCCTCGGGTGGGGAGGAGGAGCCCCGTGCGGCGTTGGGGCAGTGCCGGGGCGCGGTGGGGAGCTCAGCACCGACGTCCTTGTCCCGTTAAGACGTGCCAGAGCTGTCGGCTGCGCTGGCAGCAGCTGTCCTGGGCACACGCCAGAGCCCCTAAACCAGCAGGAACGTCCCCTGCATGCAGGTGGGCTCGGGGTCAGGCAAGCGGCCCCGGCACGCCGTGCTGAACATCCACCAGCTGTCCCCCAGCTGGTTGTCTGCGGCTCGGAGAAGCAATCGCACTGAAGAGCAGTCAGGGGGAAAAAATGCAGAAATTATAGCAGGCAGAGCAAAGAGAGACGCGGTGCCGGGGGCCCTCGGCAGCGCAACGGCCCCGCAGCAGGGACGTCACCCCCACCAGCCTGGCCCTGCCGGGGGGGCTGGGAGAGGCCTCCAAAGGGTGTCCCGGGAGCAGCTGGAGAAAAGCTCTTGGAAACGGTCCGGAGGGGGGAGGTTGGGGCTGGAGGCACCTTGCGGCCGCGGTCCCGCTCGGCCTCAGAGTGGGACCAGTGGGGCCTCCTGAGAGGCGGGAGCAGAGTCTCGAGTCCGTGAGCGAGGCTGGGCTGAGCTCCGGAGGGGCCGAGCGGGGCAGGAGCGTGGGTCTGTGCCTGGGGCAGGCTGGGGGGGATCAAACGGCCGGGCAGCCGCTGCTCCCGGGCAAGAGGCAGGGGCAGAGAGCCCTCACCCTGGCGGGGATGCGCCAGCTCCGCCGTGTACCGGGAGCTGCCGCTGGGCACGTCGTGGCGGCGGGGAGGGAAGAGCTGCAGGACGCGGCCGGGGTGGGACGGGTGTGCTGCTGGGGCAGGCCGCTCAGCCACGACGGAGAATTCAGTCCGATGCTGGTGTAACACGAGGAAAGGCGGTTACTGATGTGGCAGGCGTGGAGTTTCTGAGGTGGTGTTTCTTTCTGCAGACACATGTTCTTGAGCTGACTGATAAGTATCGGGGTTTGCAGGATATGGCCCCTTTCCAGCGGCGGCCCTGCCAGGCAGGAGGGGGATGCCTTTGTTCTGGCTCATTGTGTTCACTCGAGGGAAGGAAGTGGCGGGAGTTCCTGATGTTCTCGCCTGGCGGGGCAGGGTCCTGGGACTCGCTGGGATTGCTCCAGCAGGTGTTGTTGTGGAGAACAGGCTCCCTGCCTCCCCGTGACGTGGGGCCGTGCTGCACTGACCCGGCCCTCTGGAGAGATGAGTATTGTTTTCTCCCGAAGTGGCTGATCAGATGAAGAAACCATATGTTGGCCACTTGGCCTTAATCTCCAGAAATATCTGGGACCTGAGCCGTGCTCTGGAGGGTGAAGGGCTTTGCCCAGCGCAGCTCCCTGCTCTGAACAGAACCCCGAGGGAAAGCCCTGCTCTGGCAGACTGCTGCAGCCCGTGTCCCCTTCGCTGAGCCCAGCTGACTTCACTGTTCAGAGTTTTCCCCAGGTGCCCTCATGTTTCCCGAACTTCAGCTTCCTGTGCTTGGGGAAGAACGAGGAAGCCGCTAAAAGCATCTGAATTTCCCCCAGGTGAAGCTGTGCTGCAGTCACGTATTCCATAAGGTCACGTCAGCCTCAGTGCTGGGAGGGAGGGAGGAGCTGGGGCAGCGCCGCCGGCCGAGCCGAGCAGCCCCGGGTCTGCAGAGGGACCGTCCCGTCCTGCCTCCGGCCCTCCTGCTGCTGGAGGCTTTTCCCCAAAGCTCAGGCCAGCAGCTCTGCTCTCTGCGTGCCCGTCCCACACGCCCCACGCTGCTCCCACCCAGCTCTGGGGATTAAAACCACTTGGGCAATAAATTTCCGAACTGTGGGCTGCAGCCCCGCAGCTGTGACGCTCCGTACAGTGACGGGCTATTTCCAGCCTGTCCTGGGAACAGAGAGGTGATTCATGGCAGCGGGGACGCACGCTATGTGCTGCTCGGATGAAAACCAATCCCACTCCAGGGCTGTGCCCCTCTCCTGGGCACATGCTTGTCCTCTGCCACTGGGATCAGAAACTTGGCTGACCCGGGGCAGTGGAGAAGCTGAATGAACTCGCCCCGAGCAGAGAGAGCGTAACCCTGCAGACCGAGCTGCCTCAGCCGGGGCCGCGTCTTCAGATACGGGCCCGGACAAATTCCTGAGCTCATTCCCCAGCGGGGGAACGGGACCAACAGGGCGGCCGGCTGCATCCCAGGAGATGTCCCAGCCCCACATCTGGATCCTGACGGCCTTGGGAAAGTCCGAGCGCGGAGCGGGGAGCCCG